CAGCGCTAACAAATACTTTTAAAGAATTAGCGGAGTTAACACCAGGTAAATCAAAAGCTAAAGAGCAGACATAAAACCAGCCTATCAGTGCTTCAACTCAGATATTAAGTTAGTGGTCAAAATCTATTTCTCTAAGTGTTAAGTTACAGATGTAAAAGATATCCACCCTAGCAAGCAGCATGATACATTAGTGTCATTAAGATGAATTCAAGTTGCACATCCAACTGTAGGAATTATTTAGAATGATGTGCTGTGAGGCCACAGAAACTAGGAAATACAAATTCTCCTTGCTCTGCCCTGATTTTGTTTTCAGGTCAGACTAATTAAAGTATTTTCTAGTATTAGAAAATAATTTACGATGTTAGTCATATGCATCAATTGCCAGTTCACATTTAAGGTCGCACTATCATTAAATAGTATAACTGGTCCGGTCTTATTAAATCACTATTTAAAAATTCTATTTGTTTCTACCTGCTGTAGAAGACATTAAAGCAAAAACAAGCTCTCCTGTAAGTCGTATAGGTACATTACAGGTAAGATTGTTTTACATACAGAAACAAAAGCTTAACTTAAATGAAGGAACATCATTAGTTTACTGGACTTGAAGAAACACTGTTATCAAAAGTCCACTATCATTAGCCAGAAATGAGTTTGTATATAAATACATAATGTAGTTGTAATTTTCAGAAGATAATACATTTGGGTAATGCTGTTTGCCATGATTATAGCTATCAGCTTCCACAACATTTCTGCTCTGAACCTAAAGAGAAAGCAGAACAGGCTTTTTAGCCATTCACCAGTTAATTGCTGAGAGTTAGAAAACTTGTCTTTGTAACCTTAGACGAAATGGAAAGATCTGATTTTCCAAATTCCTATAAGAATCTTGTATACACAATGCTTCCAACATCTTAGATTCGAGGCAAGAAGTGAGGTACTATGAATCGACAGAATATTCCAATTCAAACTAAGAAGCATGAATGCAATTCAAAACCAGACAAACACAAAGGCTTCTCAAATGATCATTAGTCAATTTCTATTAAAATATATATACACTGTATATTCTCTCTATATACAGATACCCTATTTCTTATATAGCATACTGTCACATATCTTCTACCACTATAGAATCTGTTCCCGCAGAAGACTTAAAATTAGTATATTTGTATGAATGGTACCCATAATTGTCATAACTATGGCCAAAAGGCTCAGAGGTGACACCAATTAAACACTAGGAAAATGTCCTTCTGCAATATAAATGTTCTTATATTAGCGTACGATGTTCTTACGACCAAAAAAAGCTGGCAAATTTTACTGAAATGCAGTCCCAGCACTTGATTTCATTCAAAAGGTTAACTGGGAAAGATATCTGCATTTCAGTTGGTTACGTGCAGCCACATGACAAAGATTCTCAAGTAGGACCTCGAGCAAGAAAGAGCCACGGAACACACAAGGGGTTTTAAGGTCTGTTTTCCCACTGCCGGCACAGCAACTTCCGGGAATTCAGAAAGCAGCTTAAAGCTGATGAAAATCTTCACAGGGTGACTTAAAATTACTACAGTCTAACACTGTTTTCCTTACAGCGATGTTTACCATGTGCACTGAACTGACATTTGATACAACAGGGCAATACAACGCACAATGTAGTAACATGATGTAATAACGTAACCCATTTCTAAAGCAAACTGATTACAATTAACACTAGGAGCCCAAGATTTTTCAGGGGACTTAACCTTATCGAACCAAGAGCAGCTGCAATCTCTCCATGTCTTGCTCTTAAGATGAAAAAAACCCAAACAAACACACACAAACAACCCACAAAGAAAGAAACAAAGAAAAAGACTAGTTTGAGATCTGACTGCCAAATGTCAAAGTTGAAATCAACCCCTAATGCTAATACTATGCTTCTTCAGTGCCTTTCAGAACCCCCCTGGCAGCCCATTCAGTAACTCTAAAATAACCCATGAAAGGCAATTAAGATTGGAAACCAATCACCTGCAACCTCAAAAGTCTTGTTATAAGGCCATAACCTGATACTGAAGTACTGCAAAAGTCTGTAAGTTGAAAAAGGATGGAAAACTACACCATTATTCATTAGCCAAGAGCAAAATGATAAGAAAACAGCCTGAAAGTGGCCTCTGAAGAGGCTGAAAAGGGGAAAAATGAATGGAAAGTCCTATACAACCACAAACCTTTGCTGTCAGCAGCCTGCAGTTACACAGCTCCTCTGATCGCAAGAGAAACTTGCAACGGCAGTCGAAACGGAATATTTCTGAACATTACTTAGAAGTTAGTGAACACAAACCTGCGAATGGTAAGAGCTAAAAAAGCTTTGGAAAACTAGAACAAACAGTTTCAAAGGAAATAAGCTTTTCTAGTAACTTGGCTAAGTTATTAAAAAATAAGCAAGATCCTTGTACTTGATTGGGAGGAAGGGGAATGAAACACAAGTCTGAATGGCATACAGAATTAGTTATCACTAGACACAGCATTTTTAATCAACTAGGCTTCATAACACTGTCACAAACACTTAAGAGTTGTTTTTGAGTTTTAAGTATTTGATACTTTGTCCTGAAGGTGAGTTACACAACCAAACCAAATGCTTCTCTACGGAAGGCGTAGCGTGTAGCCAACCTAACCTATGTTTCATTAGAAGTCCAAAGTATACAAAGCCTTATTTACCTGGTAATTCCATTTACCACATATCTGTCAAACCCCTGTCACGAATTGACTCCTAGGATCTTAAACAAAGGCAAACTAGTTTTGGCAAATGAAATTGACAATAGTGTGCAGAGGTTTTTTTTTAAAAACAAACAAAAAATAATAATAATTAAAAAAAAACACACAAAAAATTAAAACCCACTTCCTCACATTACTTAAAGACAAATTCTTCAAAAGCTGACAATTCTTTTCTAGTTCAGAGGTTCAATTCCAAAATTTGAGAAGGTATTGAATTGCTACTCTTGCAGTTTCTCATTCGAGGTGTATATCCAAGAAAAAACAACGTAACACACCCTGGCTTTTGAAACAGTTTCTTGCCAAGCATGCTCAGAGGCAGGAACACAAGTCCAGTTAGTATCTGTCTGCAATTCTTGTTCTCAAACTAGATGGGAACAAAAAGAAACGCTGCTGAATACATGCAGTAGGTGACTGGGTTTTAAAACGGGATGTATTTTTTCCAGGAACACTGTTAATTTTCACGTGCTACATTCACCAAGTTTACCGGTGTAACCACATGTGCAATTCTGACTAACACAATTTTTAAAATAGAGTTTAATTCTGAGAAATTCAATTTCAACAGTTAACACTTTGTCATTTCACATTCAGAAATAAATCTCAAAGTGAAAAATCATATCCGACTGGAAAAAACTCTCTTCTTGTACACAAAGGACACCGAAATGCAGAATTTAGCAGTCTACAGACTACTGCTAATGCAGACATGCCTACAGACAAGTGAGAAGTGAAAAGAGGCTTGAGAACGGGAGGGGAAATGCATGTCGGGGAGAACGCTTTCGGTATTGTGCCTTTGAGGCTTCCCCAGTCATTTCTGTAGGCCAGAGCATTATACTGAAAACTATATTATATTAGAATTATAGCATTATATTGACGAAAAGGGAATCAAAACTCCTCTATGAAGTTTAAAGAAAAACTTTGATTGCAAATGCTGTGAGAGATAACATTATGTTTTTATAGTCGCCAAGCTTTATCATATAGCAACTCCAGACATGTTTCCTTGTCATTTTAGTAAAAAAAAAATAAATAAAAAAACTCATCTTCCACACTGACATACACGAGAACCACCATCTAGACTACGTATTACACCATCAAAATAAACTAGATGCTCTTAAAATAGAACATTGACAAATTCCTAGGGGGGAAAGAAAATAACCCATCTAGCATTCTGAACTAACTGTGGAACTTTAGCTCAAATTTACAAATAGGGAACATCACGGTAAAGTCTAAAACAGTTTCTACCAAAAATAGCACAGGTTTCTTGAGTACCCAGATTTCATAAACTCTCAAATGCAGTACTCTAAATATAAATGTTTCTTGACCAAATTAGCTTTCAGAAACACTGTAAATGCTATTCTTTCTCATATTACTTCTCAAGAACCTGCTCCAAAGTTTCAATTCATGCCAGTTCCCAAATTCTCTTGTGCTTGTTCTCTATGATGCTTTCTCCACACTATTGCAAAATCAAATGTGGAGCATTAATGCCCTTTCAGAAAGAGGAAAAGTAGCTAAAGATTTGCCTGAAAGTTACATTCTTGTCGAACACCAGCAGTGTTATATCTATGTCGCTGTACTTCGCTTGATATATTCTAGATAAGCATCCTTAAAAACACTGCTTTTACCAGTATATTTAAATATCAAGCATCTGAGAGAAGTTAGGAGATCCAACACAGGAATTCTGCCACGTAAAGACAGCCAAGATAACACAACTATTTAATTCAGTTCCACATGGAACAAGATAGGAGAATGCCCATTATAAGCGATGTGAGCTTGGCCCTATAAACTAAGCACAAGGCACACGAGTCAATTTGACTGTTCATGGGATTCCTTCTGTACTTTAAAAAAAAACCCACAAAAGTACCAACTTCACACCTAAGAAAATACAGCTTTTGTAAGACCAGAAGCCATACTGTCCACGAGTCCAAAAAAAACCCCAACAAAATACAGGAGAAGCCAGCGATTCAGCAGCGGGTAGGGTGGAGCTGAAGGCGGGACAATGACCTAATAGGTCTCTTCTATCTTTAGTTCCAAGAGCCTCTGTGGACGAGAGGCGTCGGGATCACAGGCTGTGCTCTCTCACACCGCGGGACACGTCCCTTCTCGCAGGGCGGCAGGTGGGCGCAGCACTTCCCTGCCTAAGGAAGTTCCCGGGAAACTCGATGCTGTAACAGGTATCTCAAGGCGACAGAGCTCACAGATAGTCAAGGTTTAGACAGCATTTGCCTCGGCAGCAGTACTAGAACGGATCCGAGTTGCCCGCTTGCCCTTACCTTGAACACTTTACCGAAAGCACCATCTCCCAGCTCTCCTATGATTTCCCAGAACTCCTCAGGGTTCAAATCCCTCTTGACGTGCTCGTATTGTTTCTTCTTCTTCTCACCACCCAGCTTGAAGATCTTGCGAAAGTTGAAGAAGGACATTTTTCCTCCTGC